ATTTTTTTGGTGATTTATTTTTTTATAACATTTTTTACGGAATTCAATTTCCTTCAAATATTTTTGACGAAATTTGATTTCCGAAAGTTCATAATTATAATTTCTTTTTTGATTTAATTTATATAAGGGTTTTCGACGAAATTCATTTTTCGTCAAAAAACTTTGACGGAATCTGATTTTCGTCGAAATTTCATAAATATAGTTTCTTTTATGATTTATTTTTTCATAATATTTTCGACGGAATTCATGTTCAGTCGGTAATTTTCGACATAATCTATTTTTCGTCAAAAATTTTGGCCAGAATACATTTTTCGTCAAAATTCCCGTGGTTAATTTTGACGGAATTTTTTTCGTCGAAAAATGAGACTTTTCTAATAATGTACTTGTTAATGAAATTATTCATATGCTCAGAAGTTCAAAAGTCCAATAGCCAAGAGAGTGTTGAATAATGGTTTCTACTTTCTAGGAATCGAGTTAGTAATTTTATCTACGGAAACAATGGATAAAGACAACTGGCAAGGGGTAGTTCGGGTGGAAAGTGCAAATCAGAAATGTATATGTGAACAAGAAGGGGATAGAGTAAACTCAGGATTCTAAAGATTAACTTGTGCATAATAAATTAACTATGTATTCCGTTATAAAATACTGTTCAAGTCGTGATATGTTGTGTTCCATATTTTGTAACATTTTTCGATACTCAAATGTGCATTGAAAAGATTCAAAGATTGTGTTGTATTGCATTTTTAATTCCACCTATTAGATAATATAAATATTTGAAATATCTTATATTTCTTTGCAAATTTAATAAATATTATAAATTTAACTTTATTTTTTTATTAAATTATTAAATATTAAGTATATTATACACTATATATAGGGGTGATAAACGAACCAAAGGCTTTTGGCTCGGCTCGTGAAGGCTTGAGCTTACATGTCTAAAATTGGTTGTTAGAACCAGGCTTGGACTTGTATAAAAGCTCGTTTAATAAAAAGGCCTCAGGTCCCGATTCAAAAGTTCGGCCTTAGATCCTCTCGGGCTGTCATAGTATATTAATTTTTATTTTTATTATATTTTTTATACTACTTTTAGTAGCCCTCTCTCTCTCATCAATCTATTTTATCCCATTTTATTGGTTAAACAGACTTTTTGAAGATTTTGTTTTATATTATGCTATTTAAATGTACATTGAATTTATGAATATTTATGGAATTACTTGTACGGTTGATTGTATATTCTATTTGGATAAATTTTGTTATCTTATTTTTTTTAAACAGGTTAACCAGTTAACTAAGCTTTTACTTTTTGTAAATAAGTCAGGCCATAGGTTGATAATTATATTTATAACAGGTAACATGTTTGGGTCAGGCTGACACATTTAAACACAGGCTTAGTCTTTCAAGATCAAAGTTCGACTTGACTCGACCCGTTAAAACTCCTAACTATATAAATTAAAAATATTATTTAATGTCAAAACATATTCTAACATATTTAAATTTGATATTTTAAAAATTAACGTATCAATATCGTATCGTATCTGATTTCTACTCCGTAGGCATATATTGTTTCGGCCTTTTATCAAACCCAACGGCAATTGAGTGGAGTGTGAGACCATTTAGAGCAAACATTCTGCAAATCATGAGTGTAATGGTCATATCCAAGTGATCATGGGATGCAATCCCATTACCTAGGCTGGGGTACAATGTCCGGCGTACCGACTTGAATGCTTACAACTTCTCCAATCACGGTACCTGAGTGCCAAGTACTCCCAAAACTCATCTCGGTGGTCATCCAGGAGCTAACTCCGAAATAAAAAGAAATAAAAAAACATTGCGGTTTGCCTATTCGAAAGGTTCGGGGAGTGATATTCTTAAGAAAAAAATATCATATAATTATATTATTTAATCACAATTATTTATAGTGATGAGATAAAAAAGAGAAAAATATATAATTTTTAAATGAATGATTATATCCGCCATAGCCAAGCCAAGGCACCTGCTTGTTTTTTTTTACTTATTATAAAGCCGGCAAAACGGGCTCGGCTTGGTGGGCCAACCCGCCCCATCAGCTAAACGCGGCGGGGCGGGTAGAGTTTTTCAACCCATCTCAAAAGCGGGGCGGGCTCTTTTTTTGGCGGGTTGATGGCGGGCATAGGCGGGCCGAGGCGGGTCAGTGTAAAATAGGCTAGGGCTGGCGGGCCAACCCGCCAAACGGGGCGGCGCGGGCTGACTCTTTTTTTGGCGGGTTGATGGCGGGGGGGCGGGGCGCCCACTTTGCCACCTCTAACTTATTATATAATTAATTATAATTAACTAAGGAAAAAATTATAATTTGGCATCACCTAATTAAATAGAAAATCAAATATTCAATACAAAGTAACAACAAACCATCCGAGTGCAAACAAATAATAAAGAACATGTATAATATGGTTATTTTTATGTTTTGCCTTTTTTTATTTTTGATCTTGTATATTTGTTTTTCCTACTGCTTTATTGTAATCAGTTATGTTATTTATTTTTACTCTTATTATTTAAAAAAAGAAAGACTTCTAAACTTAATCACAAAAATGATTAGTTAACCTATTTCAAAACTTGGGCCCTTCTAAACCAAATAAACACATTTTAAAGTAGGAAAAAGGGTTTGTCCTTTTAAAGGACATGAGGTTGTATCCTTTTAATTTTTGACGCTATATCTTACTGATAAAACATAGTTATAATATGAAAAATAATTTTTTTTCACTATTTTCTCAGTTACTTCAACTGACTTGGAGAGAGAGAAAAAATAATTTTTCGTATTATAATTATGTCTTACCGGTAAGACATAATGTTAAAAACTAAAATGACACAATTTATGTCCTTTAAGAGGACAAACACTTAACCCTTGAAAGTAACAATCATGAAACCAAATGAATAACAGGATTATAATTATGGAATACGAAGGTACATTGAACTATTGTATTTTGGATTATTGCACACACAAAGAATAGTCAAAAACCTAATTCCAAAATGTGAGAATTTTTCATCGTGTTTATGGCTGTTGCAAACAAGTGCAATGTTCTCTAACGTGAGATATTAAAAATTTAAGGAATAAAGATAATGAAAGAGGAGACGAAGGACAACGCTTATCATACATATAATTATTATATTTGTGTGTTTTCATATCCTTAGGATAATGTTTGGTTCATTACTTATTATATTGTGGGAGGAAAGTGAAACTCTTATGTTTGAAATGTTTACCCAAAAAGTTAATGTATTTTTATATGTTTACTTTGATATATAATCAACGATAATTGTTCATTTGAATTTTCAATATCATGTGGCATTATTTAGTACATAATTTAGATAATTATATTAGAATTTATAGTAAATTATTTTCTGATAAATTTGTGACTAATTATCATACATATTTTGATATGTCAAAATTTTTGACACCACTTAAATTTTTGGATCGACTCCACCACTAGATTATAATCAAATAATATAGAAAATTACTTTTCTTGTGTTACATAAAAAAAATTATCTCCTACACTCATATTTTTCAAATGGGTCCCACAAGATTTTTTTTCTATAGGCTTCAATTTTTTTCTCTCTCATAATTATTGTTTGAGCATGACATAATACTTCTTTTATGCAACATAAGAGAAATATTACTCAATAATATAATCAAATAACCACTTTTTCAATTAGAAATATATTCCCTCTACTCTACACCGACTATAAAAAGGACAAGTTAGCGTTCCTTTTATTTTACTTTATAGAGGGAACAGAACAGGATTTCTTGCAAGACCTGCATTCTCTACTTCTGTTAAGTAGGTGATCTGTTACACCTGGAAACCACCACATTAATAATAAAAAGTACCCCCCAAATCTAACACTGACAACCCAACTCGCATCCCACCGACATCTTCTCCATAACGCAACGTTGCAAACGCGGAACGTGACAACATCGTTGTGCCAAGATTGTTATCTTGGTCTTATATCTTCCGGAGATGTATATCTCTGATTTTAATATATCTTATTTTAGTAAGATTATAAGTCATAATTATGATAATAAAAATAGAGAAGATGAAATTTGATTATAATTAATGGATATTCGTTAAACAGAAATTAGAAAATAATCATTTCAATTCTAATATAATTTTTATTACTAAGAAAATATAATTTGAATAAATTTTATATTCCATTCTTCTATTAATATTAATAATTATTATTAATATTTTTATTCTATATTTTACATTCTTTCTAAATTAAAACTATGTGTTTTTTCTATTATATATAAATATATATATATATTATAAAAAATATTAGTTATTTTAAATCACATAAATTTATATCATTTTAAGTTAAATTACTGTGTTTTGCTAATTTTTATCTTATCTCTCTTCTAAAAAATTAGGAGTAAAGAGATAAAAAAAGTACTGTGAAGGAGAAAGAAAGTAATATATAATAATTTCATTTAAAATGACATAAAATTATGTATTTTAAAATAATAAATATTTTTCTCGTATTTTATTAATCTATTAATACTCCATAAATAGTAAGTCTATAAACATAAATAATATTTTTATCGATATTAATAATATTTATAGAATATTTACCATATAATACGACAGGGAAGATCTATTACCATCTTTTCGTCTTGTAAAATTAAAACTTGAGTTCGATTCTAAAATAATTTATCAATGAAAAATATATTTACCTTGAAAGACATATAAACTTGAGTTTGAAAGATTCCTCAATATCATTTCATTGTATTTATTTATAATTTACAAAATTACAATCATTAATTATAAAAATTAAAAATTAAAAATCCTATTATTAAGAAAAATATGAATCAAATCCTCACTGGTTATATAATTCAAATCCACAAACAAAAAGAGATATACATATCTTCTTCTTTTTTATTGAAATCAATATTTTTTCTAACTTTACATGAAAATGAATCTTTCTTTATTTAAACTTTAAAAAAATAAAATAAATAATAATAGTAACTAACATTGAACGTTCTTCCGATCTGTATTCCCCATGAGACAACAAAACACAAACACAAATTCAATATTCTTCGCCATTCTTGTTTCTCCACAACCCTTTTTCATTCCCCTTCCCCTTCCCCCAACAATATAACACTTTCTCTCTTTCTCTCTTTCTCTCTCTCTCTTTCTGTTGCTTTTTTCTTTTTTCCTTTCTCATAATTCCCTCCTTTGCATCTCATAATCCCAACAACACTCATCTCCAACCGCCACCTCTCATTGGTTTGAGCGATGGCGCCCCGTCTCTTGTCCTGCTTCCGCAGCAAGGGCAGCCCCGGCAGCGACGCCGCCGTCGAGAGGCACGTGACGGCGGACCTGACGGCGGAAGAGCAGAAACGCGGGGGACCCGTGCTGGTGGAGATGTTCTCGTCGCAGGGATGCGCGACGTCGCTGGCGGCGGAGCTGGTGCTGTCAAGGCTGGGGAGGGGTGATTTTGAGCTGGAGGTGCCGGTGGTGGTGCTGGCATTCCACGTGGACTATTGGGATTACATGGGCTGGAAGGACCCATTTGGGTCGAGCCAATGGACCGTTAGGCAAAAGGCCTACGTTGAAGCCCTTGGGCTTGACACAATGTTCACGCCCCAGGTTGTGGTTCAGGGTAAGGCCCATTGTATTGGAAATGACGAGAATGCCCTCATCGATGCCATCACCAACGCTTCTAGATTCCCTGCTCCAACCTTCCAGGTTACCATTATTATTTTTTATTATTATTTTATTTTTTTTGTGCTTGCCCTTTTGTGTGGTTTAATCATTAGGAACATTTGTGGGAATCAATTATCTCATGTTAAAATTTAAAATATGTGAAAATTTTGTTAGGTTTTTATTAAAATTTGTGAATATTTATAAAGAGAAAGATATAAAATTTTCGACTGCACAAGAGAACGATAACTTTACCCTTTAGAGGATGTTTGGTATAAGTATTTTGATTGGAATAATGGGAAAGTGGGGTTGGGTTTATTTTTTTACCGTGTTTGATATCAGAAAACATAAGAAATTCCTAAGCAAATAATTTCCTCAGCATTTAAGTTTGTAACTACAGACTGTAAAAAAAAATCCCTCCCCTGCACATGATATTTTTTTTTCCCTTAAGTTCAGATTCTGATTTTTACGTTTTGGGACCAAAATGCCCTCTTGTTTCAAGAATGACATACAATATTTTCAAAAAATGATAGGGTAATTTGGAAAATTCAATTTACATTTCCATCAATATTTTACGATCAACCAAATATAGCATTAGTTAAATTAACCTAATTTTTTCGGCAATATTTTGAGCTATCAAACACCTTTTTGTTACTTTTTCGATAAAAATATTTTCCTACCATATTCCTATAAATCTTTTTTTTCCGATAAAAAAAATATCTCTAGTACCAAACGCAGTTAATGTGAGATTCTAATAATCAAGTTTCAAATTCACTCATCAATCATCATGTCCTATAAGTTTTATGGATCTAATGTAAAGTTAGCATTGGTAGCTAAGATAAAAGGGAATTTAAGCTTCAAATTACGGTGACGAAATCTCAATAAATTAAAATATTTTTTTATTCATTTCCAAGAACGTTTTCGGTAATATTTTTGTTTGTGTACATGTGCATGTGTGTGAGAGTTGAAATCTCTGTTAATGTTCTATTCTATAGATAGATCATATACTTTTAACAGAACTGAAACAATTACTTTAAGAGGAAATTTTTTAATTGAAGTTAATGAAGGGAAAAATTAATAGTGTTGTTCTATGCTCTCCGAGATCCCATTGTTTTACTAATATGGATGTCTATGCTTTACAGTTTACACCATTTTATGCTTTTTACTTTGATGAAGTTCGATTGTTAAAGCAGAAAGTTAGTAAACTGCTCTTAATTTCTATTATACCATAAAGTTAGATTTGGCAGGAAGGTTAGTTTCGCAGGAAGGTTAGTTTGGCCAAAAACAAAAGGAAGGAATCTTGGTGGAACAAAGAATTCCCAGCTTTATTATGAGTTGATTATAGGGTTTTTTTTTTTTTTTTTAATGTTTATGTTTATATACTTTTCTTTATTGTTGATTAGGCGAAGCATGTAGATTTTTAAGGGCCAAAAGTTTCATATTGATGTGATCTAAAATTTTCATTTTGTTTTTTCTAACGATAAAAGTAGTAATAATAATAATAATAAGGCATCCCTAAAGAAAATAATATTTGTAGCTTAAAAGCCACAACATCACTTGAGTCTAAAGTAAACTAGAACACTTTTTGTTATCAAAAAAAAAAAAACTAGAACACTTTTAGCCTGAGATCCAAAACAGACGTTCACATTTTATTTTTTTCTTTTGACACACACTTCTTTAATTCGGTTCGTTAAATCTATATTGGGGGTGGTTCTCCCAACATCATTCTCTCCATTCCCAATTCGAACGTGTGTGATTTTCAGTTACAATGGCACCATCCCACCCAACAACCCCAAGTGGGAGGAGGCCTATTGCTCACCTAATGCGAATTAAAGTGTTTTATTTTATGGGTTCAGGAAGTTATTTTGTTCTTTTTATTACCTTCCTTTTAATAGGAGTTGGATCAAAGGCATACATTTGCTTGTTTCTAGCCTTGAGTGATGTTATGCATGCCAACACCAATCATGTTTATGAAGAAGATATGTGTGTGTACAAGAAGTTTGTTTGTTTTTTTTTTAAAGACTAATTTTGTTAATCAAGCAAACTTGTGTCCAAGCAGGCAACTTTCTCAAGGCCTACACCAGATTCTTTGCAAGTGTCTCTAACAGGAGCATTGAGGACCAAGGTGGAAAATCATGGTGCCAATGTCATGGTAGCATTATATGAAAGTGGTTTGGTTACTGACTGTCCTAGAGGGGAGAACAAAGGGCGTGTTCTATCCAATGACTATGTTGTTAGAAAGCTTGAAAAGCTCTGCACTGTCAAAGATGTCTCTGCCAAGAAGACAGTAACAGGAACTGTTAATTTTTCCTTGTGGGAAGGATTTAACAGCAGCAAATGTGGTGTGGCTGTCTTTGTTCAGAGCAGCTCTCACCAGATTTTTGGTTCAATGAGTTTTCAGCTGCCGGATGATATATGATATTCATTCCTTAGTTTTATTTGTTCTGCATACTATCACATTCAGGTTCATTGTTATTTGTTAGGCTATATGTAAATAATTTGTTCTGGTTAAGGACAATGTTGGTTTCATTTTTCTTTATCTCTTTATTTTTTTACCCTTTGTGCTTTGTCCTTCTTTACTATTGATTCTATTATTACGAGATGGAGAGAAAAATTTAAAACTGTGGCGTGCACTATTTTATTATTTGGATTTGGGGCTTGGCTCTGACGTTGAATAAGTTGCCTTCTATCTAATTGTTGTTGCTATATTCGATTGTATTATTACTCATTTGACAATTCCGCTAGCATGTTGCAATGGCAACTTTTTGCATTGCTTCTTCTCCATCTGTTCCATCCACATTCGATCTATTTTATAGTTGCCTAAAGACACGTTTTGTTTAATTAACATAGAGTTTTATTAATCTATTGTTACGGTAGAGAAATAACTTCTCTTTCCTGTAACAGAAGAAAAATATTTCTCATTAACATATTATGTTGTCAATATTTTTTTGCACAACTCTATTAACAGGAATAAGAGCGTGTTTGGATTGGATTCTAAAAAAAGTTATTTTTATACTCTGCTTATTTTAAAAGTTCTTTTTATAGAAGTTAAGACTATTTAAATTTTTTAAAAAATTATTTTTTGAAAAAAAAAAATTTGGCTTTTGACTTTTGCTTTTTTTGAGAAGCTAAAATTTTTAGCTTCTGAGAAAAGTAGATTTTTGGCTTTTTTATGACTTATGCTTTTTTTAAAAGCAGCATCCAAATGCACTTTAAAATAAAAGTGCTTTTTTTTAAGAAAAAAAGTAACTTCTGACTGAAAAAAAGCTCATCCAAACGGACCCTAAACCACCCCCTTTTGTCCTTTTTATTTTCATTTAAAACTCATCAATTTCATCCCTAGACCACTAATTCAAAGAAAAAAAAGCCTCAAGACAAAACCAACTGTGCATTTGTATCAAGATATGATGCTATGTCAGCAAATGATGTATCATTTGTAATTGTGTTAGCGATTAGAACGGATTCGGTGTGTTAAGAGAAAAATTTAGGACCATAATCAAATATAATAATGGGAAAAAAGTACAAAACTTAATAGTTAAAGAGAGAAAGGCATATTTTAAATTGAATTTAATTAGTTAAACAATTTTTGTTTATGGTACGAAATCAAATGAACTATGAACATGAATATTTGTTTGGCTGGCGGAATCATTGGGTTTTCTGCACAAGGAACAAAACCTACGAGGATTTGAGGATATCACTTACAATAATACCTCCACTTCCCAAAACCTGAGCTAAGGTATGTGTAACTTCAATCACCAGAAATAAACCCCACCAGATCCGCAGCTTGTTTCAGTTGTAACTTCATTCGCACGTTTATTCTTGAAAGGAAAAATGGATTTTGTTATAATCAAAATGTACTCAAACCCAAAAGCCCTGTACACTATAATTAAGAGTAAGGAAAATTATATCAAGAAAACCAAATATTTCACTGCTTTTCCCTTTAATTCCTACCATTGTTGCCTTTTTACTACCACACATTGAGCAATGCTACTCCTCTGTACACTAACTTATATGAGCTATATCAATTCCATCAGGATATTTGAATGTATCAGCTGCCCCAAACTTGCGACGCTCTTCCCAATTTTCCGATGATTCTTCATCACTATTTTCTTCTTCTTCCTGGTCTGTGGTGGGTGAGGAGGGATCATGCACACTTTTAGAACGGCATAATGGAGTTGCAAGCATGCTCACTTGACCATGGTGAGATATCTCAACAACAATTGTGTCATCATATTTTGGGAGGGGTTGTTTCCATGGTTCTCCATCAATTCTCATATATGTACAGTCAGCTGCACCCTTATGGAACTCAAAACGGATTTTACTTGCCTGCATGACCATTGGAGCATAGAAACCAAAGTTTGAGCCAAAAGAAGAAAATAGCTTCTAACAAATGGTCATATCATTGGTTATACATTTCATATTATCTACAGAAAAATCCAATGCTAAACCCTAAACCTATATCTATTTTAGACTGAAGTTTGACCTCATCTCAACAGTTAATTTTCGTCAATGTAACGAAAGTAATTCATTGAGCATTACTAATTAATTAACGAGTGTAACTCAATAAATTACAACCATCAAATTGACTGAAATCAACTGTTTAGATGATGTGTCAAACTTCCAGTGTTGAAGTCATATATATATATATATATAAACAATAATAATAAATATTGGTATGATCACAAAACCGATATGTCCTACCTGTGCCAAACGAGTCCCGTGCCCATTTGGTGCGAGCAAAACAAGACCATGCCAAGCATCTCTAAAACCGACTACCTCAAATAGGCCATCATCCACAAAGGGAAGAGTCAGGTCCCTCTGAAAGGCAAAATTATATAAATATCCAGTCAAACCTATATCTGTCTAAGTTCTTAAAATAATATGCATCCCAAGCGGTACTTGGAACATCGACAAAAGGGAGAGATGAAATTCGACACTTACATAAATTGATTTCTTTCTATTAGGTTTTCCCCAAGGATTGAGTCCACCGGAAAAGCTGGGTAAGTTTAGGCAAACTATTGACCGTATGCTGTATATGAAGGTCAAACGTCTCAGTTATACAATAAGTACGAGGATCAATTGAATCATCATGAAAAATCATCACTAGGAATATATCTACATATATTGTAATTTACGTAATAAACTGAAATTATACCAGGGTTACAGGTCCTATTTACTTTCTTCTTTTCCATCATTTTCCTACATCTTTATGTTGCTTTATTTTCCCAGACATACTATAAATCTTTATATTCTACTAACAACAAAATGCTCAACATGGAATAGATATTTTCAGATCATGGCTGGTAAATCTAACTAGAAAAACCTAAGGAAACCGAAGTTTCCTAATGTATAAAATCTCAAGGATTGCACAATCAAACTAAATTGATTCAAAAGAAGAGCACACATACATACTCAGCCATCAAGATATCTGATTTCCGTAGAAGTACCAATAAGTTTCAATTATGCTTAATAGTATACAATATATTTATTGGATTTGTCCTATTGCAAGATGCTTCACAAAAATATATACTGAGATAATCCATGATTCCATGGTACCTGCGAGGTATGTGGAGGTCTTCCCACTGACCTTGCTTTTTCATTATCTTAACCTTTGTCAGCTGAGCAATATTCCTATGTTAAGATTTAAACATTCTGAATTAGATTTACACTGATAGAAGGCAAAACACCACATAATTCAGAAAGTAATACAAAGAAAATTAGAAATATCCCAACAGAAAATAGCATTTATTGTTTGCAACTTCAATCTGACTCCTGAGACATTATAAGCAGTGTATCACCATTACACCATAATATCATGTACAGGGATTCCTGTCTCAGTTTAGCTTCAAAGAATAATAATTAGTAAGTAAATATTTGACAGAATGTTCGCGTTTAGCATTGTTTTCAATTTCTTATATTCTATGGTGATAGGCTCATCTGGTACAGCAAACTTAAATGGATAAAAGAAAAGGAAATTTCATGCTGGATCAACATTATCACTTCTTAAAAATTTAGTTGCTCATTGTATCCTTTCACAACAACAATGGCGAGTGTGCAAAAAAGGCCATCAGTACACAGCATGTGAAAAAAACCAAGTTTCTTACACCAAATACATCTCAGCATTTCCAGTGGAACGGTTTGGACTGAGAAGAATAGACGCAATCCAAACTCAATAAAATACTATTATATGTTTTTTCCATATAGAAATTGTCCCTATTTTCTGCAAGAATGAACTCAAAAGTACTATAAATTGGTAGGTATATAATAACCAACCGTGAAGAAGATTGAAACAGGGAAGCTAAGAACCATCCTTGTGTACATCCAAGCTTCAGATAGGCACTCTGGTTACCAAAAGAAAGGCATGATGAAAAGGTCAACTATTGACAATAGTGCGATAAAAACAAGCAATTCAACCCTATCTTACTCCAAATATAACGGAATACAAAATTAATGGTAAAAACTAAATGATTCACCCCTGACTTGTAACAAATAAACCCCATATTGCATCAAAATCTAAAGATATATGGAATTCATCAAATGAGAAGTAACTGGTTTAAAGTACTGTAAGAAATCCACAAATTATTCAGCCACATGATAATTGAAATTTGTCTTGAATGAATAAATTCCAGGACATTTATTCAAACTAGACTGAAGTAACTGATAACTGAACTTTTCAAGTAACTTCAGATACAGAATATTTTGTCCATGGCTATCAGATAACGTATGCTCAACTAATTTCTAAACAACCAGGCAAGAAAAAAGCTATTGCCTATTAGATATAAAGATTATTCATGAACAGAAAGCCATTTTGTATTATCAGAAAAATGTTTTGTCCTTGCTTTTGGCTATAATAACTTCCAAATATCTTGTTATAGCTTCAACATATGATATGTTATATGAGAGGAATTTGGTACCTGATTATATAACTGGTTTTTAAACTTTTCTGGATGTAACTTCCTCTCAGAATGAAATGCATACGATACTTGGGCATCCATTCCTGCATTGAACACACACATTTTATGGCATACTTGCTGGTTGCACTAATCTAATAGCAAGATTTTTATTTAGTCCTTCTTCCTCAAACCTCATCTTGTCCCAGGGTCAACGCAATCGTTACCAAACTTCTGCAATTCAGACCTCTTTTCCCAATGTGTACAATATCAACCAACCCATACACAAACAATTTTAAGAAAGGTTTGATTTTCTTACCCATGCTAAAATAGTTCCAAAATCCCCCACGGTAAGTGTGATAACCTTCCTGAGAACAGACAGCAATTCACTGATAAGCATGAATGGAATGCCAACATTCCTAAGTAAATGAAAATATCAAGGACTTGCAAACAAGAAATGATAAAGAAAAAAAACTCGACACTGCATTTTCCTGATTCTGTTTAGAATCACTTTCACTTTTCCTACATCATAAAAACAACTTCTCTAATTATGGTTTTCTAATAATCAAGAAATATCAATTTCTGGTTACTTCTTTTATATTGATGTGATTCGCAGATAATCATTAAAATCATATGTCTATCTCATTAAGCTCTTCTGTTTGTATATTTAAGACATTCCCTAAAATTTCTATGAATGTCTACAAAAGATTTTGCGGTGTCCAAATCAGGAATGACAATTCTTTGATGGTGAATCAGAAGTCATATTCCTGAGAAAGACCAGAAATTTCAAACTAATCTTTTGGGAAACAGAAGTTAACACAAATTAATAATGGAAAAGATTAACTTATTTTCAGTAGAGACTATTGCTTCAAACAACTTCACAAGCATTTTTTATTTTTCTTAATCTTCTTCATGTCATTTCCAATAACAGCAATAAATATCTGTAAAAGAAGTTTTATTAAAACAAATAATTATGCACAGACATCAACAAATAAAAAGAAAAATATATGCTCACCAAAATATATATATATATATATAAATCTCACCAAGTTTAGTTTATCTGTTGAAGAGACACGCTGAAATGCATGCATAGCATGAGGCAGATCAAGGGGTGCAATAGGGTCACACGAACCTTCTTTAGGAGCCCTCATTCTCATTATAATATGCCAGCTGAAAAACATTTTCATCCTTTAGAAATAAAATTTCAGCAGAAAGTCAAAGAAATTTATCAGTTGCAAAATAACTAACAAAAGATTCCTACTATGTTATATTCTTTATCTTTGTACATGCATCATGTTCCTATTTGGAAATATTTAGAAATACCAGACATAGAGGAAAAGGGAATAGCAGATATGTTAGCAACTCTATTTCATTGGACTAAAAAATCTCATTGATGGGCAACAACAAGTAAACAAGGTTAGTGGATACAAAAATTGATATTACTCAAATTTAGAAAACTGACCAAAGATGTGGCCTTAAGAACTAAATTAGTATACCAATTGCATAACAAACCCAAGACATGATGCCTCTTATCCACATGATAAAAATATTCTGTTCAGTCCTATGTTATTCTGAAAGAAATCTAGAATGCTACACCAGGCAAAAAGTCTTAGATTTGTTTATATTAATGCATATCAGATCCTAAAAACTTAATGACGCATGGGTATATAACATAAGGGAAGACGGGAAGGAAAATATTTTGAATAAGAAACATTACCCTATTACACATGCAACAGTAGAACAAGATGTGAGTAAACAACCCAAATTAATTTAAGCAACTTATGTTAAAATGCTTCAAGCCTATTATCTATTACCAGACAAATAATTGTCTCTCACATGTCTCAAGACACATTTCTTACAATTGGATGCAACTTATGTAGCCATCACATTTCTGAACTGTTAAAGCAAAGTTCCACTGATGTTTATAACTATGATACATAAAACTTGTTTTCATTTTTGTGCATACATGAGAGGTTTCACTAATCTTGAAAATTCAAATAATGAATTAATGTTTCTCATGTTATAGACACACATAAAAATGTGTGGGGCCATGTGAAAAGAAGAGAGAGAAAAAGAATATATAGGTCCCACACACTTTTTTTTTTTTTTGATAACATAGGTCCCACACACTTTATATGTGTGTAGGAGATAAAATTATCTCATATTATAACATGAGAAACACTGATCCCTTCAAATAAAATGGCAGAAAATGGAAATACCTGTCTATTTTCATTTCTTTTGCATCTCTTACTTGATTCAGGAACCACGCCACTGATTGGAGGTCTGTGGCTGGATTTTTCTTTCCCTGTGAATGAAATAAAGCATACTGAGCACATAATATAAGACTCGTGCACTGCTTCCAGCACAGAGTAAAAACCTTACATTTGACCATGACTAAATAGGAATATAACTCCTTACACAAGAGCTTGTTTTAAAAATTCCAAGAAAAAACAACCAGACATATTTTTTGTACCATAGTAATCAAAATTATCTGCTTCACGCATCAAAAACTAGAATTTGATTACTATGGTTCATATTAGAAAATGACCATAAAAATGTAAACAAAATGATTATTACTGATCCAAGTGATCATGATTTTCTTATTTTTCAGCGAATTATGCGTAAAATAAAAAGCCAAATAAAATACCCATCCAAATGCAAAGGGGAGATTATTTCCCGTCCCCAATGGCACTGTCGCAATTGGTGGTGGCTGAGGTAATTTAAGGTCAGATACCACTCCAAGAAGCCAGCTAGCAGTACCATCTCCACCTGCAACCTGATTTCCAGTGAATATATTAATATTAATAATAATAATAATAGTAGATTATTAGAAACTACTTGAATCTTGTTTAATGCACTTGCACATGGTGTAGGAACCAAAAAGTGTATCAGAATTGGAAAGAACAGATTAGCGATATCAACATACAATTATTCTCAATCTATTCTGAATTTCAGCAGCGAAACTATCTCCATTGTGCTTGAGCTTTTCTAAAGTAGCATAAAGCTGATGCAGCACCTTATCAGGAGCTTTTTCTCCCAAATCAAAAACCTGTTTAGAAAATAAATTGCCTTGAAATCAATCTAATTGCAGAAAATGAGAAAAAAGGGAGGTTTTTGTGCCATCCAAATAGCGTGCGACCCATTTGCAAAACAAAAAACCTCGTACCTGGTTTTTGTTAAGGAGTGAAGTATAGGTAACAAGAAGCTCCCCTCCAAGCTGGCCACCACTTTTGGTGTTTATAAACACAATCACAGGACATGAAGGTATATGGGAAACATTTGTGATCTCAGTTCCTGGCACAAGTATATAATCCGGAATGGAGAATTCTTTCAAGCTTCTAATGTAACTATCATCTCCCATTCCTATTTCCCTTCTGCATAATTTCGTCCACAAAAACCCATCAAAATTTCAATTCAAGTGTCCTAAACATAAATTTTCAAGTCAAAAACAGCTTTCCTCACAGCACACCAGTTAAATATTAAAAATAATTATAAAAAAAAAAACGATAAATGAAAGGCGCGTCTGATTCTTTTTTTTTTCTTCATATTTTTTACAGAATAAAAATAAAAAGAGTGTGTAGAGAATGTATGAAAATTTTAAAAAAAATAATAATTAAAATGTATTTTTTATTTTTTTATTCTTAAAATAAACTACGTAGAATAAGTTCTGACAATGAAATAAAAACAGATAACCATGTTTTGTTTTGTGACAGAAAATCGTTTTTTAAGGAAAAAAAAACACGGTAATGACGATCCACCTCCAACAACTATCTCTGGCCACCATTTCCCCATAACAACACGAAAATTTGTTACGCGTGTTCATTGGTTCTGGCTGTTTTCACTTTCCACCAACTTTGGTGAACAATGAAGCCAAGCAAAATGAAAAACCTTTCAAAAAGTTCTCATAAGAGAACTCATCATCATGAAACAAAACCAACAGTCCTCATTATTCACAGAATCAGATTCGTTCCAAAAAAAAAAGATATATTTAACCGGAACTTTCCAATCAGGGCTTTGCTCCCATAGTTCAAACAAGTATCACTCAATAGAAAGAAAAAAAAAAAGAAGAAAAAGAAGATGCTTTACCCTAACGGTACAGCTTACTGTAGAGATAGATATTCAGGAATTATCCAAAACAAACAGTGTTTCTAGCTTACGAAGCAACAGAAGATTCCTTAGAAAAAAAGCTCACAGAATGTGCGTTGAGAAGAGAAGAAAAAAGAGTTAATCGTGAAGTTTCGAATTTGCTGTTTTTTTCAAATGGTTTTGTAACGGAAATGATATTTCGAATTATATAGATATAGAGAGAGTTGGAGTTGCAGATACGGACACGAAGGTTTATTAAAGGCTTTAGCTTTGAATGTGATAGAGATAGAGAAAGACGAAGCTGTGATACGATGACCGCGAGGTTCTGCCACGTCACGCGATGCTTTAAGCTGTAAACGCTCGCGGCTGTGATACCATCTCAATGCTTTTATCGTTTTTTATGTTCGTTGGTCATCAGCGTGGACCCCGCACTTCAACGTACATACGTGACGTGGAAATTTCCGAGCTCAGGACACCATTTTTTCTATGTATATATACTTTTCTTCCGTTTTTAGTTTGAGAAATTTGAAATATTTAAAGTGAAAAAACTCTTATTTTAATAAGAATGTTATTCTTATTATTATTTTAGTCTAACTTGTCTTATTGTGTTATTATCATTGGATCAATTTGAATCAATAGTTAAAAAATAGAAAAAATTAATAGTCGTTGATTTCAAATTGATTTAACAATAAATAAACTAGTAATAAGAGTAGTAAGGATAAAATAACAATAAGTATAGTATATATCATTTAATGTAAGGATTTTATATTTCTTATGTAACATGAGATAAATCTTCTTATATCATAGAGATAAAAGTCATATTAGTAAAAGTCATGTGAGATTCATATTAGCACGAAAATCAAAAGAAGTGTAAAAAATTCTTTTCTTATATTACATAAAATATAGAGTAAATACATTTTTAGGTCTTGACAAAAAACACAGTTCCCATTTTAGTCCTTTACAAAAAATAATTAGTTTCGGGGTCCCTAACAAATTCAAAGTAGACTCATTTAGTTGAAATCGTGGTTCCTCACAAATTCAAAAAAGACCCATATTAACCCTTAAAAAGACTAAAATGGGTCCATTTTGAATTTGTTAGGGACTTCGAGACTAATTATTTTTTATAAAAGACTAAAGTGGGGACTGTTTTTTCGTTAGGGGCCCAAAAGAGTATTTATTCTAAAATATACAGAGCTTAATGTAATATTATAAAATACATTAAATAATATGATGCAATAAATTTCTTTTAATATTTTTGTTCTCGGAAAGATTTTGGAGTTGTTATCAGATATTGACTCTATTTTTTTATTCGAAATTTTTGGAGAAATTTTTTATTTCCGTCTTTTATTTGCCAATATTATATTGGAAAGTTCAAAGAAGGATAAATGTGAGTGGGTTTGTTGGGGAAACGCCCGCGTATGGCTGCTTAACTGCTTCAGCAACCAAAATAGGCATTTAATATTAATTTTGGAAGATTCTTTTGACACGCCACTCAGTGCATGTTAAAGTGATATATCGAATATTTAAGGGTTTTTGTAAATAAAAATAATATTATTATTATTTATACAGAGAGGAATCTTTTGACGTTAGAGTAAGACTTATAACTCTTAATTCTCATCTCAACCGTTGATTGTTGTCCATCTAACTGTTATTATTTATAATAATTAATTAATTAATTATTTCAAATAAATAATAATAGTTAGATAGACGAAAATCAAAAATTGAGATGAAGAGTAAGAGTTCTAAGTCTTAGTCAAAAGATCCCTCTCATTATTTATTATCTATCAATAACATTTATTTATACAAAAATATGAACAATTTATAACAATAGTAAATTTTAACTGAAGTTATTAGTTGCTATAGCCTTAAGAGTAGGGAAAAACTTCACCCACCAAATTACGCAATTAACTGTTATTCAGGTAAAGATATTTTACTAAAAATACAGACAGTTTCTAAGAAAACACTATTTGATACAATATACGTATAGTCTGTTTGGGCAATTTTTTTTACTTTAAAAGTTATTTTTTAAGTTTAGATAAAAAAAAACTTAAAATTCTTAAAAGTGAATTGGTGATTATATAAAAAATTTAATTTAAAAAATAATTTTGAAGCTAAGATTAAAAATAAGTTATTAAGTAAAATAATTTTCATAAATTTTTTTTCTAATTAAAATTATGTAAAGCATATTATAAATCTTTATTATTTAGTAAACATAAATATGATACGAAACAAAAACAAAAAATTAAGGATACCAAAAAAACAATATTTTAAAGATGAGATTTTAAATAAGAAAATAGATACAAGAATAAATAAAACTTTTTTTATTTGAAGAGAGTTTCATCGTACACTAACACGCATGATTACTATCGCCGGGATAATGAACATTTTGTCATATTTGGTCAAAAAAATATTTATCAGACTGTCACGCTAACAGTAAATTTTCCTAGAATGTCACGCGGCATAATTTCTACACTGTGCAGCGAAATATATTTACAAATATTTTGCTACACAGTGTAGCGAATTATGTCATGTCAGGCTGCACAGTCAGCAAAAATGACACGTGTCAAGCAGGCAGTAATTCGCTATACTGTGTAGCGAATTATGCTAGGATTATTGGCTGCTTGACACATGTCATTACTGCTGACTGTGCAGCCTGACATGGCATAATTCGCTACACTGTGTAGCGAATTATTTGCAAGCATATTTCACTGCACAGTGTAGCAAATTATGTCGCATGACATTATGAGAAAATTTACTGTTGATGTGGCAGTCTGATAAATATTTTGACCAGACGTGACAAAATGATCACTATTCCACTATCCACGCATCCATTGATAATTCACATTGAAAATTTTGCAAGAGAATCAGTCAAATAGCATATAGGAATGGATTTGGTCGTGCTTTTTCTTTTTCACATGTCTGCCTCAAGATTTGGAAATGAATATGGAGGCTAATTGTATGGACGGTTTCTTGCATGTGAACAATGTAAGAGGAAGCAACGAGTTAGGACATTTCATTGCACTGTATTTGAACTGTACAAAATTGACTTGATGCATGGGTATACTTTATTTGAATTTGATCAGATTTTTTATCTGAAGAAAATTGTAGTCACATTTATGCAAATGTTTACAAGTACACGATTAAATTATTTTTAATTTAACCTTGTGTATTTAAACTGATTTTATTTATAATTGTTCAAAATTAATAATTAGAACATATAAAATTGAATTTTAAAATCAAATCCCATTATGATTTCAAGTACCGACTAAGTGAAGCTCATCTGTTAGTTTCAAAAGTTATATCCCAAATATTAAGGGATTAATTTTTTTTATGTTGTAGGATATCATTTTATTTCTTATACACATAAAAATATATAAGATTCATATTTTTTTTTCTATATATTCTATTCACATGGCCTCTCATATTTTAATATATATGTAGGAGATAAAAGTTTTTTCCCCATCCATTTTAGTATTTGCCGCCAAATTAAATTCTTCTTGACCATAATTAAGTTGGGAGGTTGGCTCCACCACTGATCTATGGCATTTGGACATCCATAATACTTGTTTTAGAATTATAAATTTTATGTTAAAATGTTATAAACTTACTGACTTTAAAAATTACAAAATTAATAATAGAAGTCTATACTTTTTATTACTCATTTTGTAATTTTTTTTTTGAAAAATAGTACAGTAATATTTCTTTTAAATAGGAGTAATGAAGTGGACCCTGGAATTTGATAATTTAATTAATTTCATTAGTCGACATGACATTGACACTTTGGCCTCTTGTATGCAAACTATTTCAACAAAGAATTACTTTGCTTAAATTTCCCCAAAAAAAAAAAAAAAAATACTTTGCTTAAGCTATAAGGTGTAGTGTTGGTAAGTAATTTCAAATGAGGTAATTCCGAAGGAGCACGAATGGGAAAGAGGAAAGAAAGCAGCTTAGGCAGGTATCATATGGGAAGCTTCCTTTATCTTTTTCCATGTTCTGTCTAGATTATATAGTAAGTTAAATAACCTAAATAAAACTTTTATTAATAGTGCTTTTTTTAGCTAAAGGAGGAAAAAAGAGAGGAGAATTTGCTACCCAAAAAAAAAAGGATAAACTAAATTAAAAGAAATAACAACCACAATCACATACAAATGGTGCTTCTTCCGTGCCCATATGCACTAGCTGAAATAATCACGGACCGACATTGTAAGACACGGTTTTACTTGTACATGTGAATGTTATACCGAAAATGGTCTTTAAGATTTGTCTTAAACTTTTTTAAAAGTTTAATCGTCTGAAAATCTATTTGAATTATTGTCTCACTATTCAACAAGGGAAGAGGTAGAAATTTAATAAAAGAAAATCAAACTAAATATATATAACATGGAAAAAAAATTCAAATTTTTTTATTTTTATTTTACTTTTTATATATAATTTTTTTTTATACGTAAATCTTATATGATAATAAAATTATATTACTTGTACAAAAACTTTTGAGGCAAAAAATTTAAAACATTATTATTTAAATAAAAATTACGAAAATACAATATTTTGAAACAAATTTACGGATCTATAGCAATCAGTCATGTCCAAAATAGGCGAGACTGGTCGCGCCCAAATAAGGCACATTAGGGTGTTTGGTCGCGCTCAATCCAAGCGAGACCCAGCACCATTCACGCCTTACTGGGGCACGACCAAGCCCCTCACCTGCCCAATTTAGGCGCGATTAGCCAAGTTATCCCTTATTTAAGCCCCTCTCATCTTCATACTCTTCATAACTATTCTCCATTATAAACCCCTACTCTTAGATATATTATCACTTGCTTATTCATACTCTCTTTTGTGTTTTTTGTTTATATATTCAAAAATGAGTTCACCTACGGATTGGGTTCGTGTTGTTCTATATTATAACGGTACAAAAGTAAATGGTCGACATGGTATAGTTTTTTAGGCGAGAAAAGGCCAACATGTAACAAGCGCAACTCAACAATTGATGAATTGCATCGAAAAATCCGTCAAAAATTAAGTCTCGAAGGTAACCAATCTACCACTCTGGTCATGACAAGATGATGGTCCGAAGAACAATACATTAGTTTGTAAGTTATGGATGATGAAGACGTAGATATGGTAATGGGAGAATTCTTCAA